TATATATATATATATATATATATATATATATAGACAAACTTAAATAAATTCAACAATATAATTTTATTATGAGACTCATTTCAAAGGAGTAGTTAAATATTTGAATATTATAATTATATATAAGCATTGTCAAATTACGTATGAATCAAAGTACAATAGAATATGAGCTTATTTGAATCTCATCTTCAATGTAATATATTCTACTACAACATATATTATACAAAAAAAATCATACTAGATTTAATCAATAAACTATTATATTAAGATACATTAAGACGTAACAGAAGATTGAAAAATTATGAATGTCTTTATTGATTTAGTGCTACACGACTGCAAATGTGCTTTCAAATTGTAAACAGTGTCTATCGCGACATATGTGATACAAAGTCAATGAATTGAAACAATAGGATATCCATTTTTTAGTTTTCCTGCAGAAAGAGATTCTGGCGTGTCATCGTTTCCAGGTTGAAGATTCTTGCACCTAGAAGGTCTCGCCAAGACATTGTCCGAGCATGAGGAAAGGAAATGTTTGACATTTGGGATGTAGGGAGTCAATGCAACATAGGGTGGCGCGTGAGATCGCGATTAAAGGCGAATCAGACGTTGACATCTATCGCAGGGAGTCAAGTCGAGGGTAAAAGAGTACAGGGAGAACGGGCGAGAATCGCGAGCAAGCTGGTAATTGCGTTAAAGGTGAAAAATTGTTAATTTTCCAGGGTATACGACAACGGGTGGGCCGCCATCTGCCGGTTGTTTACGAAATTTTACGCCGTAGGTAAGATGGCGGACGGGGAAAACATGCTGGAACGAGATGCTGGACGTTCCGACTTACGCATTCCTCCTCCTTTTCCATGCCGCTGGGCATTTGGGGCACCGCGCGGTTAATGGCCGAATAATCTGGCAGATCCGGCAGCTCCTCGGCCATGTAGATCGGCATGGGCTTGGAGGCGTCCAGGGCGCGCGCCCTGAACGACAGCTTGCTCATCCTGAGGGCGGCTGGCTCGCGCGTGTTGACAACCAAGGATGGCTGGCCGCACCGTAAGAGGCCAGTCGGGTCGGCTGGGGGGGCCTCGGGTTTCGCGGAACGCCGTGGACCTGGGCTATTGAGGCCTGGCTGGGGGCCCTGGGGCCGAATTACCCGGCACAGAGAGCGCTCAGGGCCTCATCGTTCCCCGGCCATCGCGCTGGAGCACGGTCACTCAGTCACCAAACGAGATATATCACTTTGAAAACATGTTTGCGTGACACGGTCCCTGCTCAAAGCCATCATGGCCGACGCACAGCCATTTAACACACGTTCGGCCGCCGCCGTGCAGTTCCGCGGGCCGACGTGCGCAGCGCGGGAATCGCCGCCGTTGTGACGCGGCCCGCGCACGCCTATTGGCTCCCACGCTCCCGCCGTATCAGCCGTATGCCGAGTACACACCGTACTCCCGTATTCGCTCCACGCGGAACTTTACTCTAAACGTCGCTCCACAACTAATCATACACTCGACAAAAAAAAAGTCAGAATGACACGCACGTCGACATATTGTTTAATAAAATCCGTACTCTTTTATGTCTTTATATTTGCGTTACATACAAATACAATCTCGTGCAGATTCGTGTCCGTTGAACACCTAATTCTGAAACAAGAGTTTACAAATGTAGCATACATTCTTTTGTCCAAAAAAATTAATGTACATTGTTTTGTCTATATTGTCATGATTACGTTCTGGTGCCTCTCGTTTTATTATATTTAATTATTGCGATACAACAAGGAGCGGGTATTTTTTTATTATTGCAAGGAAAAATGAGGCGTCCCGGGCACGTTCAGTTGGAATTATTCTCGCGGTTTCTGCGCATGCGTCGTCGCCGGTGCGGCGGGTGCTTGAAGTTAGTTATGGACCGCCGTCGAACCGCGCCAAATCCGAAACGAGAGACACTTCGCGTTGCGAGATCCATTCGTTTCGATTGCGTTCTCTGTATTTAAAATAAAGTAGAACGTGTTCGTTGTGGGCTTTAGGGGAAGAAATATGAGAGATTTAGAAGAAACAACGAGAATGGAGTACTTTGCAATGAAGCAAATCAATCTGTCGCGTTCACCGACAAGGCACATAAAATTATCTACGCAAAACGTCGCCGTCGAACGGCGCCAAATGCGCGACGGACGCGGTGATATCTCGTCACGTGTCACCGCCTCCGTCGATTGAAAAAGGGAGAGCGGAAATTAAACGGCGCAGTTATCGCCAGTTATCGCTTGACTCACGTAGCCCGCTCGTTGCGGAAATTGCACGGAGTTCGCGACAAAGTTGGGTGTGCAACATGACGCAGATCATCGCTGTCCTGTCCATGGTTCCTAGGTTATCTTACCACCTGCGCTCGCGGTTGCCGAATCTACGCATTTCGGACGTATCACCCGGTAACGGTATTTTGCACGCACACGATGCGATGCAACCGAGCCTCGGGACCGCGGTCTACCTGCTCGCCAATCGTTCCGCGTGCTGCCGATAACCCCCTCGCGACGAACACGTGTCGAATTCCCATTGCCACTGGCGGCGGCCTCCCGTCATTTCCGCGAGAGGGCGTGCGCGCGCTGCCGCGGGAAAATTCGAACTACATACTACGTTTCGCCGTGCTAAATGTCTGTTTTTTATTGCTGCATTCTGAACTGATGCAATAAGTTAAACTGAAACAAACGTATATTTTCACTTCAACTTATTGCACTATGTGTACTAGTTCAGAAAGTGCAGCAATAAAGAACAGGCCGAAAATGTGGCAGAAATTTAATTTTTTAAACATGATGGAACGTGCAAAAAATCTATTTTACTAAAAACGCGTTTCAAATCTTATTAATTTCAGATTATCGTAATTTTTAAACACAGACGAGCATCATTTTGATTGAAATTTTCCTCAGAATTTTTGTATAAATTTCAGAATTTTTCAGAATTTCTGAATAATTTTATAACTTCATAGAACATTTCATAGATCTTTTATGCAAATTGAAACACTTTTCAAAAGTATTGAGGAAGTTTATATTTTTTTTAGAGTTGTACACGTGAATTCTAAAATTCTGAGATTTCTAAAATTTCTTGACTTCTGGTCTTATAAGAAAATCTGAAAATTTTAGGTATTTTTTTTAGAAATTGTAGGAGAAGTTGTAGGAGTTTCAAGAAATTTTTTAATATTTCAGACTTCCTACATAAAATTCTAAGAAAATTTTCTCATTGTTTCTGAAAAGTGTTGTAACGACAAAATATTTAACTTCAAAAAGACATCCATGTGGCCATTTAAATATGTATTTTTTTTAAATACAGGACAAGCCGATACTTTATCCAAACTTAATGAGGCAGAAATATTAATAGCTGATTGTGATTTATTAATACCTTATGCAAACAAGTTGACATCGGTCAAATGGATACAGGCGACCTGGGCTGGTTTGGATAAATTCATTCCACATGTGCAAAACACGCCAAGAGATTATATATTGACTCGTTTCTCGGGCGAGTCATTTGGTTTGGCCATGTCCGAATACGTGATAGCGAAAATTGTCAACTACGAGCGTGACCAGAGACAACAGTATGAGAATCAAAGGCTTGCTGAATGGAAACAAGAAGGCAAATTGATAAACCACAGATTTATATATGATTTAACCATAGGTATCTTAGGAGTAGGAACAATAGGAAAGTTAGGTAAGCTGCGAATAACAAAAGAACGAATTCGGTCATTTGCATTATATTAATATATAAATTAAAAAAAATATATTAAAAACTGATGTATTAGAAATTAGCAAAGTAAATGTAAAAACACATAAATATTTTAAACAATTAAATGCTCAATAATATTATCGTGTCATTCAACAAAATATACATGTATTATTTCATTGTCAAAGTTAATTATTGAATTTAGAGATACTTTATATAAAAACAGCTTTTAATATATATTAATCTAGTGTAATGTGAGTGACCGAATTCATCATTAATTTTACATAAAACGTAAGCAAGTATTAAAATTTCAATAAAAATATTTTTATCTTTTAATATTTACATAGTTGCAGAGAAGTTAAAGTTATTTGGTGCAACTATCTGGGGAATGACACGTACCGTTCCGAAAGAGAAATTACCGTACCTCGATGAACACAGAACCGTAGATAATTTGCCGGACATCCTGAAAAATTGCGACTACATCATTAATGTGTTACCTTCAACTCAGGACACGATAGGACTTTTAAATGGCAATGTCTTGGAACATTGCAAAGGCAAGGATGCAGTTTTCATGAACGTAGGCCGGGGTTCCGTTATTAGAGAAACGGATCTAATAAACGCTCTTGAACAGAAGTGGATTTCAGGTGCTATTTTAGATGTGTTTGAAAAAGAGCCATTGCCAAAGGAGAGCAAGTTATGGAGCCTTCCACAAGTATTATTCTTTGTCAATTTATCAACTAAAAAAAATTTTAATCTTTAGAATTAACAATACTATTGTCTGTTTAGGTAACAATCTCACCACATAATTCAGCTATAACAACTGCTCATAATATTGTGAAGCTATTCGCCGCGAATTATCCTAGATATGTAAACGGAGAAAGCATGATAAATGTGTTTGATTTTAATAAAGGCTATTAAAGGTCTGGGGTTATACAGTATTTCGTCACGATAACAAGAAGCATACACACAAATATTTATTGTTAAAATATACGTACAGATTGAAATAAACATGTTTTAGATATCTTGAGCTTCGTAATTGTTTTTGATATTAAAGTTTAAGTCACATACAACTTAATCTTATACTTATATTATAATTTTCCAAAAAATAAAATAAAATGCCTATCATTTTTTTATACAGTTCTTTAAGATACGTACCTTTAGATTCAAACTATCTATTAAATATATATCTCTGTCATAACATAAAGATCGCAAAATAAATTATATAATTTACTTTTGACTGAATAAGTAAAATAAATTAGATACATACTGCTAAATATTGAAATATTAAACTTTAAGTAACAGTTTTTAAATATAAAAAAATCTTAATATCTGAAATAATTTGATATTAGCAATTTATCGATTGCTAGTAATCTAAAGTATAAAAATCTAAATAAAGAATATATAAATTTTTATATTATATATTATGCATGAACACCATATATCTCTCTTCGCATGATATTGTACACATGGAGGTATATTAAAGTGAAATATTATGGAAAGATATAGAAACCTATTCAGTAGGCGTCTCTTCAGTAGGCGTTTCTTCAATAGGCCGAGGGGACGGAACCAAACCGCGGATGCACAAGTCGTACACTACCTCTTCAATTTTTTTTACGTCATACTTGAGAGCATCAAAACGTTTCCTCAATATATCATTCTTTAAGTTTAATAGCCGAAATCCTGCGTTTAATTCATTAACGAATGTTGCGATTTCTATCGGCCAAGAGTAATGACCATTTGTGACGCTATTTACAGCAAAACGGCTCTAAAAAAAATATATAGTTATGAAACTGTCATGTGAAAAGAATATACATACCATTATAGGAAATACATACCAATTCGGCAGATAACTGAAGCAGACCGAGTAAAAAATCTTCCAAATCCAAATGGAAGCCATCCTCTCTGTTATTTTTTACTGCAAGAAGAATGAAAATTATTCTGAGTTTATCAAAATTAAGTATAGTATGTAAGAGCAAATGTTTAAATGTTATTTAAATACACAGAATTATTTAAACATTGAATATAACTATTTATATACCTCCTAATATATCTGCAACAGTTTTCTTGTCAACTAAGAGTTTAATTTCGAAATATATTACTAGAGCAACTAGAAAGCACAGCCTTTGAGTGACAAAACGCCATTGGTCATGGTAACGATAATACTGATTGTTTGGTACTACTTCAGCAAGATTCGCATATTGTATCCTTATGTCCGCAAATATTTCTCTTGCTTTTGAACAATATTTTGATACAACTGTAATTTACCAATAACAAATAAATTATTATATATAATATATTTTATATATATCTATATATATATTTATAAAATTCTAAAAAATTTATGTTTAAAAACATACTTATATTTTCCTCCATTGTGTGATGCACTGTGTGAATATTTTGCAATGTCATCAGTATATCCCTAGAATTTTTCTCGATATTCTTCACAATGACACGGATTTGCTAAACAAAAAGAAAAATTTGATGAAAACATATTTTGCTGTCTCTTTGCTTCTTATATCTTGATTTTATCTCCTGCTTTTTCTCTTCCTTTGTCATCGTTCAATCAACAATCATGTTTCTGATACAAAGTTTGTTTTATCTTGAGAGATAGAAAATAAAGAGAAACGCGATAAGAGACAAAAGGTAAGAG